CATTAATCTGTTGCCTTCTGTAGATGGCCAACCAGGGACTGAACCTACAACCCAGACATGTGCCCTGACCTGGAATCGAACTGGCAACCTTTCAACCTTTTGGTTGGATGATACTCCAACCAACTGAGCCACTCTGGCCAGGCCTGGCTATTCTTTCTAGGATTCTTTTCACTGACTTCTCATCTTCTGTTCAACTTATAAATGTTAAGGCACCCAGGATTCTAGCCTGAGTTCCCACTCTCCTTACATGATTTCATCTACTTACTTATGAGCTTAGCTTTCCAATTAATTGAAAGTTTGATTTATCTTACCATAATTTCAAGATGTTTTGAAAGAAACGTAAATACATTTACGAAACACATTCATGAATAAAAGCATTCTAGAATATGTTAAATATGAATGTTTTGAATTAGAATATTGGAGAATAATACCTGGAAGAATAATAAAAATATTCCATGTGGTATTCATAAAAAATACCTTAATAGTCATTGGATATTTTCAAATAAGTTTTTGGTAACTTGCACATTTGGCAAATTGGGGGGTAGCATGGACATTGAACTAATCGATCCTTCCATAAATTGACCTTTAGGGATCTGGGCTGCTTCTACTCAGCTTTCAGTATTTTTTTTTATACAGGTCAGTTCAGTGCACTGCACTTGTTTTTTTTAGTAAAATGTTGACACATGCCTGCTCAGAATAAATTAACTTGATTATATCACCTGTAAGGTGACTTGTCTCCTGCCTTCCCTCAAAATCCCCACCATTACCGTTTATTCTTCTCTAAGCAAAATTAATCATTATTTTCTCTTCTTGACCCAACATCTAATAGTTTTAATAATATAAGTGAAGGGGTGTGTGTGAATGAATCAGTTAATCAATTTTAAAAGAATGGTAAGCTTTTTAAATTTTATTTCTCACAGTGACACCTATTAACCTATACCTGAAATTCTTATTATAAATATACTGAAGGTTGCAATGATAGAAATATAGAAAAGAAGGGAAGCAGCAAGAGAAACATTTTTAATGTATTAAGTATTATTTTTTTTTAAGCATTGCAGGAATTAAACATTGAAAAGAGCTGAACTGTAGGACACAGACCATGTTAAAATTTAGTGCAGAGATGAAAGAACATAAATTGTAAGACCTGGGTGGCAGGGTAAGGCTTTACCGAGTAGGTGAGAGTTGAGCTGGAGTACTTGGGCATTCAGTTATGAGACTGGGACACACAGAGGCCGTTAGCTAAACAAACACAATAGGTTACAGTCAGACTGTTCACATTGACTTTGGCTCTTACTCTTAACTTTTTGTGAATGGCCTTAAACCAGAAATAGGGACTTTAATATGCTATGATCAAAATCTTGAAAGAGTCTATATTGAAAGAGCTCTAGAACTAAGAAACTAAAAAAACGGAAAAGAAAAAAGTTATCAATGAAGGTGTTCCATTTCGCATTCTATTCTTAAACCTGCAAGGAAACATTTCTCTAAAAATTAAAGGACAACAGTACAACTTTTTGATTGATATGGGCACAATAATAGCCATCTTAAACCTGAGCACTACTATACAGCATGTTCCTTGGAGTCAACAAACTATTCCAGTCATGCATCTAGTTAATAATACTCATCGCACCTTCTCCAGGTCCCCCCACAACCCGTATAACTGTCACCCTTGAACCTTTTTTTCCCCTTTTTAGCCTAGAATCTTTAACCAAAGAGTTTTTCCTTTGTGACACTCATTAACTTAATAGCAAGGGATTTACTGTGTCCTGATGGTCTCTTCCCTCCAGTCCCAGAGGACATCTCTATTCATAATGAGGTCCTGGCTAATTTGGATATTGTTGTACCAGTACTTTTTTGTGTAGATCAAGCACAGATTGAAGCTCTTTTGTGGGCAAACAATTCTAATGATATTCTTCCAGACTAAACTCATCAAGGTTCAGAATGACTTACCTAAACCTTTACCCAAATTTGCACAATAGCCTCTAAAACAGCGGTTCTCAACCTGTGGGTCGCGACCCCTTTGGGGATCGAACAACCCTTTCACAGGGGTCGCCTAAGACCATCGGAAAACACATATATAATTATATATTGTTTTTGTGATTAATCACTATGCTTTAATTATGTTCAATTTGTAACAATGAAATTGGGGGTCACCACAACGTGAGGAACTGTATTAAAGGGTCGCAGCATTTGAGAACCACTGCTCTAAAACAAGGTGCTAAAGAAGGAATAAAACTAATAATCAAAAGCCTGAAGGAGAAAGGAGTCTTCATATCTCCTCCTATTGTCCCATTGAGAAACCCAGTAGGCAAGATATAGATTCAGAGCAGGGAAATGGCAGCAGATTAAATGGAAGCTACGCTGACACCCTCCCAGGACCAAACTTAAATTACAACTAAAATACAGAAAAAAATCATCTTGAATAATAAATTGAAGAGTAGCTGGAGAGAACCCTGATAACCAAGAACTGAAAGTGGAGACCACATAGCCACTGGTAGGAAGTAAATCAATACCTCCTATGAACTTCATTACTTCCTCTGAGCTCAGCTTCACCTCATCAGCAAGTTACCTTGGTAGCAATCAGAATTTGTCCTAAACTCTCACCTAAGAGATTTCAGTTTAAAAAATAAAAACCACCACCACCCTTTTTATATGCCTTTGATTTTGGCAAATGTTACTAATTACTCGTGGTTGTCGTGCGCATAGTCTCTTACCGTCCCCCAAAAAAGCTGGTCACTAGCAGGCTGGGGTCTTATCTCTGCTGGAGAAGAGCTATGAAGGCAGGTGTTCTACAGTATTGAGGAGCAGCTCATGGTAAGTTTTTTGTTTCTGTATTATAAAAATGTATTTGAGCCAAACAAAGGATGTGCCTAGAAGCAAGATCTCAATAGACAGATAAATTCTTCTCATCATAAGTTTAAACCATGATACTTGGCAGGGCTTTCCCCGCCTAGTGCAAGGGATGTTCCTCCTCACCTGGGCCCATGCCCACACACATATTGGAACACCTGTCAAAGAAACAAGGAGCCATTCCCCTTCAGCTAGTTCCCTGGAGTACTGCAACCTGGGGGCAGGGTTGGCAAAGGACTGCAGAAAAGAGGGAGGAGGTTTTCTTTTCCATAAAGATTGCCTCCTGCTTATCAACTCTGCTTTTCTTTGTCTGCCCCAGGGCTGACTCTGGGGACTGCCAGATCTGGGGTAAATCACAGGGTGTTCTCGGGCCACCCTCCCCGGAAGGACATGCTCAAATCATTCACCTAGCAAAATCCGGTTCTGGTAACTATCAAGGGCAGCCAAGGGTAACTAACCAAAAGCCAGCTAGAGGAGTTGACAGTAGTAGGCAAGGAGGAGTGTGTGTAAATTGAGCAAATTCTAACTGCCAGAGCTGTCCCAATTTTTCTTTGCTTATCTCCTGGATTCTGGGAGATCAGGACAGACCCCAGGTACTCAGCACAGCCTCCAAGTTCAGGAAACCCTGCCTGCCAAGCAAGGAATGGAGCTACATTTGGAATCTGGAGAGGAGGGTATCTAGGAGGATGGGGTGGGGGGCAGGAAGACTGCCTTCCACTGATAACACTACCCCCCCCACCCCCCTCCCGTGGCAGCATCGCCAAGGGCCCAGTGGGATAAGCACCAGGAGCCTGGGCTTCTCTTGACAAAAGCCTTCCCACGTTTACAGCTGTCCAGAGGCTCCCAACATTCAGTGGCCATGCTCACTCTCAAGGTCACATGCCGGCAGTGGGAAAGACCTACTTGAGGGGTCTTAGGAGTCTATACTTAAAAGCTTGCCCTGACACCCCTGTTTTCTGGAGTCTTCGCTTACACACAGGGAGGTGGTTTTTTGTTTGCTTGCTCTTTGTTTTGGTCTTACTGTGATTTTGTGCGTGATAGCCTCAATCCCTGCACAAGACTAAACCGAGGGCACCCCGGAGGTGGGGCCACCAGAACCTGTACCAGGCACAGGGTGTTGTTGGTCTGCCCCTCCCTCCAGGCCAACAAGAAATCCTCTGAACTTCTTAGTACCCCACAGAGCCAGACTAAGCCCTGCCAAGAGCGCAGGACAACTTTGATCACAGTCTTTAGACACCAGAATGAAGAAATAAATAAATACCAAGTCGGAGAAACAGCTTAAAACCTTTAAGAAATCCAGGGCAATTGGATTCTGCTGAGGACAGTCGGTTAGGTAAGGGAGTCAAGTTGGAAAGAGGAACTCTGCTGTTTAAAAAAAAAAAAAAGAAAGAAAGAAACAGTCTGTTAGAGTGGAGACGTCCATAGCGTCGAGAGACTCAAAACCCGCCTGTTTTCTCCCGCGTACCCCGGGGGTGGCGCGTTCCCCGTAGGGAGCAGGGCAGGACCCACGCGGCGGAGGCGGGTTTCCGGGGAGGCTCGCTCTCGGGGTTGGGGACTCCCGGCCGGCCGGCCGGCCTCTCCTCGGATTTGTGACGTGTCGGAGGCAGCAGTGGTGACGGAGCCATCACACAAAGCCGGAACGTCGGGGCGGGGGTCTCCCAGGCCAAGAGCCCCAAT